CACAGAAAGTCCATTAGAATTAATATTTCTTTACATGGTTATTTACTTGAGTAAGCCCTCCCTTCAAAGTGCTGCTGCTGTTCTCTTAACATAATAATCCTGATAAATTACTCTCCTGTTCAATGCTCCATAAGCAAAGAACATAAAGACTCAGCACTGCTACATTAGGACCCATTACTCTGCTCATTGCAAAGAAAACACCATATTTTTAAAGACGTTTCCTCCAGCAACAGATGCCTCCCTACATTTTAGAAGATTTTAGAAGGAAAAAGAAACAAAAACGAGACAGCTCCCACCTGTGATTATAAAAATGCATTCGTTTCTGATAACGTACAGCTCCCACGTGAAGTTGGGTGATTCTGCCACCCATTCGCCAACCTGGGCTGCAGTCTGCCAGCAGCGTGCCAGGCTCGTGGTGCCCACATGTTGAGTGCTCTGAGCTCAGCTGCTCGCTTCCATTCTTGCTGGAGTCATGCTGCTGACATGTGCTGAGCTTCTCACCTCTGTTTGGGTCCAGCTGAACTCATGTCTCTGAAGGACAATTGGCTGCTTTATGGCAGTTTGCTCATAAAACAAAATTGTCAGGCACATGGGCTGGTTTGGATAAATTCAAGCATGCTCTACTGTTCATCTTTACAGCATAGAACACCTCAGGGAGCCCTGTGAACACCACACTGGGGGCCTGACCTCCTCTGCAGGCCCAGCAGCTGGGTATTGGCCATGCTCACCAATGACACAGACCAACAGACCAAGGGCTGTTGTCATTTCTGTCCCCTTCTTTTCCTTCCTTAAGTATGTTCTTGCTCAGGCTGGCCTCCCCTGCCCAGTCAATGCAGTCCCACCTGCAGCCTTCCTTCCTCTCACAGAGGGCAGGGAGAGCTGTACAGGCAATGAGAGCTGCAAAGCACAGCAGAAACAGCAGAAGAACCTGAAGGCCACAAAGTTTTAGAGAAAAAAAGATCTTATCCTGCCTGAGTGCTGTGGGTGGGACGAGGGGCTGCTTATGGGGAAAGAGTGGAAAGGCAAATTGGAATGGAGCAGTTCCTGCCCATGGACTTCAGGCTGGTAGATAAGCCAGGCTGGGTAAGGGATGTCCCTTCCAGTCTTGCCAGAGAAGCCAGATGCTGCCATCTGTCCCACTCCAATTCCTCCTTGCTCAAACAGTTTATAACCCAGTTGGTGAGGAAGGTAAGAAATCAAATCCACGACCGCCCTATAGCCAGGGAGGCAAGGAAGCAGAAGGCTAACTTAGCTAAATGACATAATTGCTGAGTGATGACTTTTCACCACCCTCCCTCCTCAGTGCCTGAAGCTGCACAGCTAGATGGAAAATGAGCCCTCCCCCCCCCCACCATGGTCACACCAGTGGCACTGCTGTCCCTTTGGTGTGAGCAGGTCCAGAGCCACTCTCCTGCAGCACTCCCTGCAGCCCTCCTGCTCTGCTCCAGAGGGAGGTGGCTTCCAAACAGGCACGTGGGCATCTCTGTGCCCCATGCTGTGTGCAGGCTAGTCTGCACAACGTGATAAACCATCACTTCCTTCCTCCTGTGCATCATTGCTGTTGCTACCTTGGGCTTGGCAGACCGGTGCTGGCTGTGGAACACACTCAGGTCCTGCCTGGCACATCCAACCCTTCCTTGCTGGGACAGGCACATTGCAGTCAGGTTTGCACCATTTCCCTCAGGACTACTTTGCCTACTGCCAAAATAAAGGATCTACTTCATCAAACCTACCTTACATTTAGCAGACACTATCCCCTCTTAGCTCAGTGTTAAGATGGACCCACGCATCGAGCACTCTGCAACACACACCAGCTCTGCTCTAGAAGACCCAACTGCTGCCCCAGCCTGCCATGCTCTTTGCTTCCACACCACATACAGCCTACCACAGGCAACTTCTTCCACCTGGACCACCATCACGCTGAAAGAAATACCACCTGGTTCTCCTGAGCTCATGAGTACATTCTTTCTGAAGCAGAAGTTAATACACAAGGTAAAGGCCGCATTATAACAAAGCAGCACCCCCCCTAAATTTAGTTATAAGTCCTGCACTTCGTAAGTTATGAGAGAGAAAAAAGAAGGGATCCGCTTCTGAGTGATAAGGACAGTAAATGTTTAGCACTGCTTAAATTAGTTTTATTTTGGAGCCATTCAAAATTTAGACTTTGAATGAATTCCTTATGGAAACAAGTAAAGAATTTGTTGGCACAATGAGGAATAATCTCCTACCCCAACAAATGAAACAGGGCTTAATTTGACTTAATTTCCCCAGTGGTGCAATGAATAACATTCTTTCCAGATAAGTGTTTCCACTGGCAGAGCTTGTGCTTTTGCTGTGCTCAACATCCCCATGTTGCAGACATTTTGCATAGGGCATTATGAGAAGAGCTTGGGAGAATCGAAGGCATTGAGCTCTTCCCTATGGTACTTCCCTCACCTGCCCATCCGTATGCTGCTATCCACACCATGCAAACCTGTGCAGCACAAACACTGTAGCTCAGAAATGGGCCTTGTGTTTCCTTTTGGGTAATCCTGAGTGCACACACCAGTGCAGTAATCCACAGCAGGCAGGAGAAAAGTGGCAGGTGTAGGGTTGATGAAACAGGAAGCAGACACTGCTAATAACCAAGCACACTTTACTGCTAAGCACTGGCAGCCACACATAATAAACATAATGACATGTCCTGTTCCATCTGCACTTTAAGCCATGTAGAATGAAAGCTTCAGCATCCTTTGAAAAATCCTCCAGCACAAAGAAATGACTCAAAAAAAAAAAAAAAAAGGCTACTCTGTTCAACAGTGATGAAGCAATGAAAACCAGCATTTTCTTTTCTGCAGTCATTCTGTAGTCTGTTTTTCACTTTCAACCTTAAAAGGATGTGAATTATCTGGGGGAAAGAATTAAAAAAAAAAAAAAAAAAAAAAGGAAAAAACAGAGATGACTGGTCTCCACAGATCACCTCGACACCAGGTAAATGTTCCTCTTACAGAAATGAACGTTAGCACCCTCAGATGGCATATTTCATTCTATGAATTGCTCAATTACTTCAGAAAAATGTAGTGGTATTGATGAATACTGGTGTAAACTCATTGATCTGTTCCCAGACTTACCAGTACACACAAAGGATGGAAACACTCAGGCACTGAGTGCCTACAACATGCCTTATTGATTCTCTGAAACGCCAAAATCTGCAATGTTTTCACTCACGCTGCATTGCAAAGTTTATAGAGAATGCCCAATCCAATTTTTGCTTTTTACAGAAACATTTTGTATGAAGAATTAAATCAGCTATAAATAATACGCATGGATTTTTGCTCGCGCTTATGGTTGCGTTTTACTCAGATGGAACACAACACAGATTTGTACAACAAGAGTTCGCAGCAATTTTTTTAGCTTAGATGAATATAAGTTGAATAGACTTTCCTGCCTGAAGAATGCTGGGTCAGTGTGTCTGCCCAGGGCTCCTGAGCTCTCCTCCCTCTGTACAGCCTGTGCAGAAAAAGTGAGCCTGGTCTGATCTGCAGCATGCAGTCACTGTGCACACATGCACATTTTCCTGAATGCACATAAAAGCCACTTTTCTTGCAAAAAACTGGGACAACAGTAGCCAGAAAAACACTGATGTGCCACAAAAAAAGGTTATGACTGATCTTAAGGCTGCTTTAAGCTACTTTAGGACCGCACAAAGTTCAATGCAACTAATGCTGTAACTAATATCAGTGGGATTTCAAGGTTTGACTCTTCACAAGGAAGCAGCTGACAACCAGAATGACTTTGTTCTCTGGCTCATGCCTGTTCTCTCACTCTCAAATGAAGTTCTCATTGATACTGTCTCAAATTCCAAGTACGAATTTTTTGCCAGTGCAATTCTACTGCTTTCCTCAGTACTGTCTGCACTACCTGCAGCCTTGCTGAGAGCTAAGAAATAACTTTTTCTTAAGACCTTGACTTGTTTAGCTATTGTGAAGCAGAAGTCTCCTCCCGCCTGCACTGAGCATGCAGTAGCCAAGTTGCTCATACAGTTGTGCTCAAGAGCTGCTAAGGCACTGAAAAACCATACAAAGCAGATCTGAGTAAGTGCACGCCATCACTGGCACCTGAACAGCTCAAGATTCGCTCCATGCTCATTTTTTTTTAATTGAGTTAATGGGTATCACAGCCTGACAGTACCTCCAGAGCCAAAAGTTACCCAAAGGACCACTCTTCCTTCATTACACCTGCAACAGGCAGCAAGAGAGGAAGCAATCACAGCCTCCTAATGGTTTTATTCCAGTGTTTCCATAGGCTTTTATCAAAACAAAGAGCATTCTGCAACACAGTACATGCTGCACTCTGCAGGGTAAAGGCTGTGCTTTTCTCCATCTTCTCTCAAGGTGGAGACTGATCCCAAACCGGCATGTTTTTTGCATAGCTGGGGACAGTCAGCTTCCACACTCCAATCTCCTGCAGAGCTCAGAACTTATGTGTGTCATCTTGCACCTCCTCCTTCCAAGCTCAGTGTGGCCTGTGGGGCTGCACAACCATCCAGCAGGCAGCAGAGGGGCTCACAGCTCTCTGCAAGGGGAAAGAGAGCATCAGCACTACGTGGATAACGAAACAACCTTCTCATCTTGGGGTTCTGAAGAGGAGCAGGAAAGAGGGCTGGAGGGAAGGAAAGCACCTGAAGTCCTATAGAGCATTTGCCTCCTGTCCACTTTTCTCCATTACCAGAAAACCAACACTCATCACATACCTCTGAATACCAAACAGAGGAAACAGGTTAACGCGCAACTCTGTTATTCATAAGCTATGGGCTGGCCTTCTCTCCTAGAGTTCAACTACATTCCTCTCCTTAAGCAAATAGTGTATTGTTAAAAGATTTTGGTTCAGAGTTTGGAAAGTTAATAAATGGACTCTGTACAAAGCTGCAGGTCCCAGTTCTAGGCAGGCTGCATCGGGTACACAGACATGATAATACTAATTAGATAACAGAACCACAATGTAAAACAAATGATGCCAGGATTAAAATACTATAGTGGGTTTGGAGGTTTTCTCTGTAGGGAGAACACAGGCGCATACACAAGTCTGGAGAGAAGTGAAGAACACCAAATCTAATTGAAACTACAGGGTGCTAGAAGGAAGGGGCACAGAAGACAGACGGTAATTACAGCAGCTGGAAAGCAGCCAGGACACTGAGGTTAGAGCAGCACACTGTCAGAAGCCATTGTGAGATCTTCTGTGATTACAAACCACCAAGACCTAGCTTTAATTCTCCTCTGAGCTCCATTTGGCAGCAGGACATTCTGTTGGCAGTCTGAGGCCCTGCTTCCATTTGGGCTGGAAGACAGAAGTCACCAGTCTCTCTCCATCCCTTTCCTTTACTGCCAGGTTTCTCACACAAACAGTCATAGCACCTGGGGAGCCCCTGTTGACACGTCACATCCCTGGAGCTGCGCAGCTCTTGGCAGCCGTTCCCTTTAGCAAGGCTTCCTGCAGCTGCCAAAGCACTGCCCTGTGCAACCTTCTCTAAATGGGGCCCAGCCACCAGCTCCTCTGGGGACCACCAGCAGCCCATCGGCAGCAAACATCCCTGCTCCAATCTTAAAAAGTCCCAAGCCCCATTTCATCAGACCTATAGCAGCTGAAGGGATCCTTTTGTTTGAAGAGAATGTGGATTGTGCTGCTCCCAGGATACGGCAGTTGCTTTTGATTTTTATGCTCTTATTACACATTAGTCCCCCAGGTTTGATTTGGAAAGGACACGGCTCTCAGTTGCACTTTGTTGCACATAGGGAAGATAACCCAGAGCCACTCATTACTGTCAGAACTGCAAGAGACTATCACACCAATTCAAACAAAATGCCAACAGCACAGTCTGCTGCTTACAGTACGTGTTATATCTAGATACAACAGAAAAGCAAGGCAACAGTTTAAGCACACTAATTGTGCCATAAACATTTAAATTGCTGTTAGAATTTTTCTGAAGGATCAGAAAGATGTGAGTAAATATAAACCCACGTAATTGGGAACAACTGTGGACATTTGTGCTAACATCAGAACCCCAGAAAGCCCCAGGATCAAGGGCTGCAGCAGTGAAGAATGGGAAAACATTCTGCTCAGCACAGATCCTTGCCATTAACAACTGTATGCACAGAAGAGGCATTTCCTCACAATCAGAAGAGCTGCAGATTTGGATTTCCAAACATCCCCACTGCTTGAGGCCCATCTCAGCACTTAGCTGACCTGTGTTTCCTCTAAGACCAAACCATGCCTTTTGTCAGTGTTTTTATGATGTCAGCGTAATGCTCTCATTACGTGCTTGCTGGAGTTGTGCAAGTTTGTGTGTGCTTCTTCATTAACTTCTTACCTACCTGTTTGTTTCCCTTTCTGCTTCAGAAGCAAGTCTCTTCCTTAGCTTGCAAGATCAGATCCACTTTAGAACAAGCATTTTAAAAAAAGCATTCTTTTACGAAGGAACTGTTCTAAAACTGCAACTGCCTAGCAGCTACTTCTGTATACTTCTCTCCAAACATCAGCCCCGTGCATCACATAAAAGAAACATTTCATAGGTGGTGACATTACAGAAATGTAAAATTGCCATGGAAAAGGATCCTTGGGCACCCCACAGAGCCCAGCGGTCAGAAGCATAACACAGCATAATTATATACAGGGTGGGTTGGAAGAGTTCTGGCATCTCAGTACTTAAGGCCCAATCAAATGTCACAGCAAGATCTCCAATGAAAGGTCCAAACCACAGCACAAGGGATGTGCGTTTTGTAGAGCTTTGTATCCCAGGTGCAGGCTTTGTGATGCTTTACTTGGAAAATCTCATTCCAGGCTGCTGGATGGGTGGAGCAAGCAGGAGCGGTGCAAGTGAGCATTTCACAGTCTGGCACAAGATCTGTTCTGAAAGAAAGGGGCAAGACTTGTTATTCTGCACTTCAGAAGACGTTTGCCCTTGAAAGTGCTGTTGAGGGAATGCAGGTACTTGTGATAATCCAAATTCTGGGACATTTTTGACCCAAATACTGTTAAGGAGAATACATGAAGTGAAAGGTGATCCCATTCTCTTGTAAATATATACATTTATATTTAATCTTTTCTCTGCAAATTCTTGCTCTCAGGGTCTTATGTTTTGGTCATTTTAAAAACTGCATCAGGAACCAATCTGCTAGACAAAGAGCAAATCTCCAGGCACTTATTATTCAGCAATGGACTTAAAACTAATGTAACAATTTTTAGTTACCTCCAAGCAAAACAAAAACACATTTCCTAAAGTCTCCAGCTTACAAAACCAACCAAAAAGATGCATTTGTCTTCCTTAGAAGCAGCAGAGAGGAAGTGTACAATTTGCACTGTGAAGGAGATAGATAAATCACAGAATCAGGCTGTGCATCTCCTCGACTGCATCTCATTTTCACTGTTCCAAGCCCAGAAGCAAGGCTGCAGCACCCATAGAGGATGCACATGGCTGTCCAAAAACTCCAGGAGAGCAAGTCTGAGCCTAAGGGACGGCTTCGCTACAGGTACTTATTAGTCTGTTTGGCTTTGTTTTTTCTCCCAAGGATGGAAAGAGAAACAAGGGTATCAGTACACATTTGAGCAGCAGGAAGTTGAAAAGCAAGTGGGAGAAAAGGACACGTTCAACTCTTATTAGACACTTGCTGCTCAACAACATGCTGTTGCCATTCCTTTCTCCCAAAAACGGATGCAGCTTTCACTGCTGCCTCCAGCAATCTTACACTTTACTTCTGGGTTTCTTTTCAGGCTCGCTCTCTATTTCTCCCAAGGTGAAACTGCTCTACAGGAGGGCTTCCTTCCAACAGGGATGCTCTGGGAGCAGAATCTCTTACCTCAGCAGGTGTTAGGATGTAGCACTGGTGGAAGGCATTCTCATGGAAGAAGCCCTCGGCAGACCATCCATCTAATCCTCACTTGGCTCTGACTCTGCAAGCAGACAAACCTCAGTACAGCTCTGCCAGGCAAACAGATTGGCTTGAGAAAAGGCAGACAGGTGACCCAGACACAAAGAACATAAACCATGGATTTGCTTCTTACGGTACCCAGCCAGAAATGCTGTCCTCACTGTCTGGTCTACAAGGAAGCAATATGCCTTTTGCTGTGCCAACACAGTGACATTTCATGCAGGAGTGCATCAGAATGGCATCTGCTGCTGCAAAGGCTACGCTTCTATCTTAGCTGAAATCCAGGCCTAGTTTTGCCAAGTGTCCAGACAGGTTTCAAGGCAGTGAAGTCTTCATTCTCTTCACAAGGATGCAAAGGGCCAAAGACCTCATTTTGGAGACACAGATAAGCGGCATTTGAGATTTCTATATAAACTACAGGCACCAGAGATGCTGCTGCCTTGCTTGACTTCAGAGAATAAATTCAACTAAGCTTGTGAGTGGAAAGGAAGAGAAATGTCAAAAGTAAGAACCTGTAGGGAGCCATAAAAAGTAGGAAAGCTCTAGATGGAAGAATATATCTCCTTGTCCCCAGAATCTGTTGTCACATTTACTTTTCCAATGCATACTCAGGAGGCAGAAAAATCCAAAAATAGCAACCTCCTGTGCCAAGACCTGGGGGGGGGAAAGGTGGGAGAAAAAAGCATCCAGAGGCATCTAAGAGTATTAGCAGGTACAGAGCAGGAAGCTGGCGCTGCATCCTTGTGATAAAGTGCAAGTCATGGTGCTGGAGGAGTACACAATACCTTCCTGGAAAAGGTGTTATCCTGCTATGCAAGTTCGCTCTGTTCTGAAGAAATCTGAATCACCTTGAAATCAAGAAGAGACTAAAGGAAAGAAAAGGCATGCAGGCACCAACCACGCAGATGCTTTTAGCACTTTAACTTTGCCAAGTTAGCAGCCAGTCTGAGAGCAGTGGGATGTTAGAGTCTAGCCAAAGTGAAGAGACTGAAACCTGCTTTTCAGTCAGTAAAAGGCTTCAAAATCTAAACAAAAAAAATTGCATCTAATGAGGATATAAGCATATTCATGGAATTCTTCACCCACTCTGTCCCCAAGCAGCCTATAGCCACTATGGTAGAACTCATTGGAAAGGCAGGATACAGAGGTGGAAGAACAAGGACCGCTGAAACTACAAAAATTTCCGTGTTCCATCCTTGGTCTCTGTAAGAGATCTGAACACACACCACACCAAAGCCTCCAGAAACAGTAAGTGCTTCACAGCAAGCAGGTATTCTCAGATGTATGTCAACACTCAGATCACAGCCAAGTAACTTCCAGGCTCATACCTGAAATCTTGTTGAGATTAGCCAGTGTGCAGCAGATATCCAGATTTACGCATGCAGAAGATGAGAGAAGCCAGTCTCCCCTGCTTTCCAGTGTTACTGCATGCAGAGCTTGAGCTGGTAACACACTGGACTGAGGTAACACACGAACTGCCTTCCCCCTGCAGGACCTCAGGAATACATCTGGAGAGCTCCTGCTTTCATTCCCCAAAGCAGAGCAGCTTCATGCCCTATCAGCCTTGATGAGCTTCCTACTCCATCCACATCTCTAGAAGGAAAAGGCAAAGCAAAAATGACTTTGTATCAGCAGAGACAGGGTTTGAGACTGCACACCAGCTGCATCCCCCGTTACACAGGAGCTTCTCATACTGTCCCATGGGTCAATGGCATATGTTTCTCATTTCCTCTGGCTTCATGTCACAAAAGACCAGGACAAGGAACTCAGATTCACCATCAACGGATGGTGGCAGAATTTGACTCAAAAAGAGCAAAACTCTGTAGCTGTTATCTTGATAAAGACTCAGCACAGTGTTAAATCATGGGTCCTCCAGTGGCTGGCAGAGGCTGCACTGCATGCATACACAGGATTAACCCACAGCTTACTCTGAGCTCCCCATGAAAAAAAACATTAAACAGCTACCTCTGTACATGCAGATGAAAAACACAAGCAAAGAAATGCAAAAAGCAGAAGCATCTCTTCAGTACATGCAGCTGGGGCAGCTGGCACACTGCTGCCATGGAGCGTGGTGCGGCTCCGGCAGAGTGGTGACCAAGAGGCAAACTCCCTCAGGCTTGAAGAGTCCTGAAGCAAACAAAGCCCCCGGCTCAAGTCTGCCAAACCTTCTCTACTTGGATGGCGGCTTGCTCACACTTGGCAACAGTTTGGTGCAATTTGAAGCTGGCTCAGACCTAAAGTGAAAAGATTAATAGGATATTTGAAATCCCACTCCTATTTTTCCTCAGATCTTACTTACGTAGAAGCTCTGATGTTGGTTGCTGAGCTCCTTAAAACACAATCTGTACAACGTGCCACAGTAAATAAACAGATTTAAGCAGCAAGTCCATTTAGAAGGAGTTTATTTAGAAAGCACACACATCACTAAAGAGAGCTTATTTCTTATCTAACTCCAAGCACTCAGGAGGCAATCCTTCAGGGGTGTTCTGCAGGCAGCGTGAGATTAATTCTGTTTGCAGCAATTATTTTCAGGATGTTCTGCACTCCCATTAAGAGCCTGGAAGTTCAGTTAGTTTCTCGGCTTGCAGATTAGAGAAAAGCTGGAGACATTAAGCAAAAGAAGAAATGCCTTCCAGCAAACTGACCCATAAGAGGAACCTTCCTGTCAGAGTGGGGCAGCGTTGGCTGAGACCTGACATGCTGAGCCCTGCCTGGCACAGCCTAGACACGGACCCCCATCCTGCCTGGGAGCTGGACCTGTCACACCACCCCAGAGACACGTTGCACTTGTGCCACAAACATCCACCTTCAGCCTCCAGCAACACTTCAGGATGGAGAAATCTCTGAATTTGCTCTGGAAACCAAGGAAAGGCTGACATGCACACACAATCCAGAGAGCCCTCCAGGCCACACGAAGCCCTGCTTATGGTCCGCATGGACTCAGGGCTCGCAAGAGAAGCTCTGGATTAAAAGTCTACAGGAGAGATGGCAACTTTAGCTACTACAGATCTGTGATCTTCACTGGCTGCTCACACACCTGCACCTCAGTGTTTAAATTGGCAGAGACCTACAGTCTTGGAGCTTCCTCCAAGAGTGAAAGTTCCTTCATCTCCCCAAGTCACCCTGTTGAGGCACACAGGGCTGTGGGCTCCCTCTGTGCCTGCTTGCCTGTGATTTTCTGTGCCAGCTCACCGATTCAGGCAGCCCCAGCCATGGTTCCCTGGTTTTTCTTCCACCAGCATCTGTGGTGGAGTCCTGAGAGCACGCAGCTGATGCCTGGTTGGTGCTGGCTGTGTGTGTACTGAATTACCAGCCACAGCAAACAGTAGCTGTTGTACAATCCAGTTTAATGCCGCAATGCTGGTAAAAACATTGGAGAAACGAGGTGCTTCCACTGCTTTGGGAAATCAATTCCACATGTACCCTGTTATTTCCCATTGCCAAACTCAGTGTTGTGCAAATATATTGCAAATGACAGCTCTTCATAACCTGCACCAGAAAAAAAAATGTCCATTCTCCAATTCACGTATAACCTTTGGCCAATGAGAAAAATGGCTTATGCCTGGCTGGTATGAAGTGACAGCCGCAGAGTTCTGAGGAACTGAGGTGCTAGCAGCCCTACAACCCAGTGGCAAAGTAGTTCACCCTCATGGCAGCCCTTTTCCTGGAGACAACATGCAACTGTGGAAGCAATCGGCATGATCAGCACCAATCTGGTTGTAAGGGTCACACAGAGCAACAAGAGCTCTACATGCTGTCTTTGGGCAGTAAAATCACAGTGCCTTGGCACCTGTCCTCTGGAGGCAGTTTGGGCCCTGTAGTACTTCTTTCACCATAGTATCACCTGATGAGCATTTCTTAGTAGTGCAAAAAAGCCAGGTTAAGTACTGATGGGATTTTCCATACACAAACAGCTAGGCTGCTGAGCATGGTTGTTATGGTTGTTTTCCTCACATTATTCTATCAATAACTTTCCTGAAAGCCCCGCTGGCTTCCAGGCATAAAGCTTGCAGCACTGATACAGCACTGCATTGCCTGCAGCCAAAGAGGCTGAGCTGAGGTCTGCCTTCCTCTCATTTATTCTTAGCATCTTTACACATTTGAATATTTACTCTAACAAGTGACAGCCATTCAGACAAACCCAGTTTTGCAAACAAAGCAAATAAGCCATCTTGAAGACATCTCCAACTGCCCTGAAAAATCAACTCCTCCTCTAAAAGCAGATCTCCCATTATTACGATACTTCAAGACACATTGCAGCACTCCTGACTGCCTCTGGGTGATGCTTTCTAGGAATTTTTGGTGCCATGAGCCTTTTTGCCATCTTCTAATGCAGCTGTGCTCTGTCACCTCACAGTCATGATGTATTTCTCAGCTTTTGCTCATTCCCACAACTTGGCAAATACATTAGTTTGTATGTTGTAGGCCACTCAAACCCTGAGAGAAAGTTTCCAACCTTATTTCTACTGCTAAAATACCCAAACATCCCATGTGCAAGGAGCTGAAGGAATGATGCAGAATTACTTGTCCTTGGCTTCCTGAAGACACACAGGACAAGTAAATAGCAAAACTTAGCTGGGGGTGCCTGTGCAGTCCCTTGTGGATGCTCCCTGCTAAGACCAGCTCACCAAGCATAGGATTTTAGTTAAACAGGTAAAGAGTAAAACAAACTGCACAGAAGTTCTACTCACTCTGTTTTTACTCATCTCTCTTTTCTTCCGTATCTTGGGTATTCCAGCTACTGAAAGCCTCTCTTAACCTTCTGGTTTCCAGTGATATCTCCAAGCACTGCTGCCCATTTCTACATACACTCCCATTTCTAGGAGGGCTCTTTATGTAAACCAAGTGCTTTTGAGCCTATTTCCTTAATCATGTTAGCCTGGCAGTTACATCCATTCATCCACTGTTGTTTCTCACAGTTCCTGAAATTCTTTAAGGCAATCATGTCTTGATTTTCCTGCAATAACAGGCTGCTCCAAACTTGTCTGTCCACTCAACATGACATGTATTTCCTCATCTAGAAGTCACAGATTGACTCCTGAATTCCCCATAACATTCAAAGCCCTTACTGTGAACTTCCTGCGCTGTGAAGTTGTCAACAGGCACAGCTCTTTCTCACAGCAGTACAGACACACAACGAATGTCCCCAGAAGGTGCATAAGTCCTTAGCTGTGACAGCGAGTAATCTCTTCACTAGAAAACATGTGGGACAGTATCATTCAGTGATAAGTTTGTGCCAATACAGCAGTGCTGAGTGGTCAAAGCTCTAGGTGGAAACTTCTCAGGGTCCCAAAGGAAAAGCTGTCTGTGTAAGTGAAATTTCTGGAAACTACATTATGCTTTGTTTTACGACCGTGCTGGAAAAAGAGACAGATATCCTTTTTGCTGGGGAACAGAATTCATCCCTGCAGTTATCCAGACAGCACTGATAAACATCTGCTTCTTTCTAAAGGGCCCATGCAAGGACAGCCACAGAGATGTTAGTCCAGAGCAGGACCTTGTCACAACCAGCGTTGCTCTAAGCTTTGTCAGACACCGATCTTCCAGCCCAGACCGAGATCAGGCAAAGCTGATCTCAAGTATTCACAGTGGGTGATGAGGTCAGTGACCCCAAGCCTCTCATCCTTTGTGAAGCACCCAGTCCTCAGCTTGCAGAATTGTCTGAAAATTCTGGTACAAAAAGTCAGAATGTCACACATTACAAGTGCAGCTTGTTAGCAGAGGTTGTTCACAGAGCCTTAAGCTGGTAATAGACATGAATAATTCTCTGGATGAGGTAAAACATGCATACACGTGGCAACTTATAACTATGCTCAGAGCAGGGTTATTAGTATTGTTAATTATTAGTATTATTGTTTAGTGCACCAACCGCATGAGAAAAGTTGTTGAATGTGCTCTTTGAAACAAAGACACAAGAGAACAAATCTGCCCAGAACCTGCTGCAAGGGACCCACTGAAATCTACCAGTTGTGTTTCCTACATTATCACCACCTCAGAAGCATCACAGAGGCCTAGAGAAAGGGTTTCCCAAATGGACTTTTCAAAAACCAGCACTGATCCTCCTCTCACATGCTCTGTGATGCAAGACCTGTTTGCATCAATCAAGAACTGATTCTCTTCCTTCTAACTTTCACACAGTATTTAGAGAAGAAAAAAAAAAAAAAAAAAAAAGACATCCAGAAGTGGTGCTACTCATCACTGGGAAATAATTAAAATCCTTCTGTGCTTTCCTTCAGCCTGCTGGCTACTCATTTACTAAGTCAGCTTTAATGTCTTCATGAGTGTGCAACCATTAAGAAACCTTAGGAATGGTTAAAAAAAAAAATAAAAATCCAACGAATAAACCCATCCTGATGGTCACACTTTCCTCTTCACAGAGCATGGATACTGAGTTGAACAAAAGCTGCAGTATTACAAGCTCCATGTAAGACCTTCACAAGGTTTTGGGATTCTCTTTGCTGCATTCACAGCTGCCATCAACTGGTGACAACCCATCCAGAAATAGACAGTCCCATTACAGCACATCCCCACTTCAATGGCAAAATAAAAAGAAATACATGAGAAATAAACCAACAGACAGTGCACCAAGTCATAGAAGTTTATTGGGCAGCAGTGCCACCCTTACAGGAACCATGGCTATGTCATGAAGGATGGGACTGTGTATCTCAGTGGTTACTCCCATTAACAATTAATATGTTCTCTTCACACAAGATGCAGATAAGCAATTCATAAGTCATCTGGAGAGGGAAAACACAGGCTCTGATATACATAACACGGCATATTATCAGGCACGCAGTGCTCAGCATTGCTCATTTGTTTTGTTCACACTCCATATGCAGCTTGTGGCTCACAGCAGCCCTCACACCAGGAGCACCAAGAGCTGCTGGTCACCACCCAGCACTGCCACACACCCAGCGCCCACAGCACGCGCTCCTGGATGGGAAAGCCATTGGAGGAGCATGATGGACTGCAGAGAGAGGGAGCGTGTGAGCTCTGCCCTAGGCAAGCTTCCACCTGCTCGCTCAACAGCTGCACAGGTTTTATGTGACTTTTTACTCTGGAATGCAGAAACAGTTACCATAGCAATTTCCACATCACTTGGTACTTGCGCTGCCTCTGAGAGTCGGAGCACCTTTTTATAGAAATTCTTACCGATGCACCACGTGCACTTTTGATTTTTAGAACCTTCGGAGGAAAAGAGACATTTTATGCTTCCTGAGATTTTAGAATCCTGTTGAAAAGTGGAACCTTTGTTTCAAGGGGGAATGTGGTGTTCAGCACAGAAGAAACTTATTGCATTTCAGAGGAGAGAGAAGAAAGCAGCTCGTTCCAGAAGCATTCATCATCCGCAAACCATCCACAAAGGGTACAGAAACACGTCTGCCAAAAAGAAGCCCCTTGCTCAAAGATACAGCATGCTTAAAGAGAAGTTTTGTTTCCATGGTGACTGAATTTGGAGTAGGAACATCCTCTGCATCAGCCATGGCTAGATCAAAAACCCAGTTGCTTTTGTTCACTCCATGAGCTGGGTTATTAACCCTGCCTCACCCAAACATCCTGTTTGCATTCTTGTCCCTTTTGCTGTGCACAGCTTCTCTTTGTAAATGAAGCAAGAAAAAGCAGGAAGGTCCAAATAAATCTGAACAGCCCGATCATCCTATAATATATGTATATATTCAATCCTAATGATTAGAAATAATACTATTTTCCAATATAAAACCAGAATTTCAAAACACCATTTTGGAAATGGCGTCAGCAAGCATTGCACTAAAGACAATTAACAATAACCAATGATGTAGAGGTTGTCCTTTCCTCATGTCTCAGACATGAAATCTCACCCTTCACTTATCTTATCCATCTCACAAATTTCTACAGAATGGGAAAAGACGGATTCTCAGCAGCCAGCTTTGAAGGGGTGACAACCTGGGGCACAGATACATGTAAAAAAAATGGTAAATTAAGGCTGAAGGACCTCAGCAGACACATTTTGATTGGCCATCTGCTTGCTTACATTCTGACCTTCCCTACTTCGAAGATTTGGCAGTGGTTTCACCTCAGCCAGCCAGATTGCCACCATTTAGCCCAGTGCCAGGACTGGACCCCAGGCAGCAGCTGCCAGCTTGAGCATCTCACAGGATGCACTGCCAAAGCACATGGGGCACACCATGAAAGCCATTAACAGTGTGAACGCGTTGCTTTCTGCTGCTCCTTACATTCACCTGAGGCAACGAGGTCACACTCACTGTAGCCCCAATTTCTGATGCTGATGAGATAATTTGCTGAGCCACCACAGCTGCTTCAATGGAGGTTAAATCTAGATGCTGTATCCATGGATCAGTGCAGCCACACTTCCCAGCAAGCACTCTCTGCAGCTTCCTACCCTGCAGCATAAGGAGAGGGGACATGACAGCACCATGCTGTCACCACTTTGCATGGAAGGCAATTGCTTTGTCTGGGAAAAAAAAAAAAAAAAGCATTCAACAGATTCACCAAAGAGCAACTTCATGTTTTCATTCCATAAAGTCACACAGCCAACTTCATGCCAGGAACTGCATAATTTCTCACAGTGTGACTGTGGTGTCATCTGCTGGAAGGAGGGAACACCCATTCAACAGAGCTGAGAGCCAGTTCAAGTAGAACAGACAAGTATAAAGTCCTCCACTATTTTTCAGTGACAAATATTTGCACAGAGGCGACACTGGAAGCCCCAGCTTTGTGCCAGAGCAGCACTGACAGACTGGTGCTGCTGGGGCTGCTCAGCACTGTGTGGCTTCATGAAGTGGGGACAGCAGTGGGACCAGCGCTGCTCTGGGGACATGCTGTCACATGCAGAATGTCATTCTGCCACTGAAAAACAAGGGTGAGTTTCTGCATCTGGTTTTTGACAACAGCCACTGGAAGCAAAATCGGACATAGCCATGAAGGCAACCAGCACCTTCTGGTAACTGCATGGAAGCTATGGGAATAGCGTGGGAAGGAGCAAGAAGTCCATGATAATTCCAAACACAAACAGAATTCTCTATGAAATACAGAAATCAGAGTAAACTTAGATGCATACTCAGCAGAAACAGTTGCTCCAGTGTTTCTGGCCAAGTTGCACAACTGTCAGCATAGAGAACTTCAATTTTTTTTTTCCCCAGCAAAGAAAGTGCTTCAGTACTTGTTCCTGTATAAAGAATGCCAGCTGCAAGCAACAAACTTGGGAAAACAATGGGCATTAGACACATACACCTAAACATACCTGAAAAATCAGAGCTTTCATTGCCCAAATTGCCCAACACTTTCTAGTGCAAGGCTCCCCATCAGTTATTTATACCACTGCCAGGCCTCAGGCTGAAAGTTTACATGCTGGGTGTATGCCTGGAGCAATTTCTTTCATCTGTTTTATTTTAATTTCAGCTAATACAATACAGTTGTTTCTGAATTAAAAATGAAGAAACAGAGCATTGCTTTGCCACAATAAAAATGCCTCCAATCTCAGCCTTGCCTGCCTCTGCCACTCTGCAATTAGGAACACAGCTCAAAGCTTTGGCACCTTGTGGCTACAAAGCAAGCTCATTTTATGCCATCTCCAGGAAAACCCACCCAAATTTAGCCACTTCACTTGCTCTGGGAACAATAACACCTCAGCTGGTATCTGTCCACATCAATGAGAGTTCACGATCCCTTTCCTGAAATGCAGCACTCCACACTTTGGCCTTAAGATGTGATGTTTTGCTGACTACTGTCAGCAGCACTGTCCAGAGCCCCTGCTACATGCAATCAAGCAGGGAGAAGCCTGGTGCTGAATAAAACATCTCCTGCCTAGAGCTCTTGGCTCTGATGGCCTCTACAGCACTACCCTGCCCTGTCAGTAAGCATTCAGCTGGGATGATTGGAGAAAGAAACAAAGAAAATACAAAAAGCACAGAAACAAGCGAGTCCAATGAATCTAGAAATTCAAAAAGCTTTTCACCAGTGTCTGAAAATGGGAATTCCTCCTATCTGGTTTCAACAGAACCTGCTATGGAAGAGACAACTGAGATTTAATTTTCATTTTCACTTGAAGCTGAACAAAATGATGATCCAATATTAAGCTTGTTTACAAAAGCTAAGGCTTGAAGTCCTTCCAAAAACAATTTTGTTCTACTCTTGAGTCAAATTCAATGCAATGTTCTCCCTCAGATGTTACCCACATGACTGTTTACTAAGTCAGATCTTGTGATACCACCAGCTTGATTCAGCAGATGTAATTAATGGGTCTGCTCTTGGCTCACACAATGGTGCGTGCCTAACGAAGCAGAACAAAGCAGCCTCTAGAGATTCATGCCTCTCAGCTGGCCACTGAATGTAGAACCAGGCAGTAAACTCCCAGGCAGCAACAGCTACATGAAGTAAGGCTTAAGAAACACTGGATATTAACTGCTACTGCTCCCAAAATAAGAAACTGCAGGATGAAAGCTTGGTTCTCCTTACTTCTTTGTGAACTTGTGGCTTCTTGTTAAGGACTCCAGCTGCAAGCATCAGCTTGAGTCCTGTTACTTGCATGATACTTTAAAGAACTTTCCTCAGAACTGCAACACAGAACATTGAGAGATACAGTAATCATTTCTTGGTTCTGAGAAGCATTTTCAGGTCTGGAGGAAAGGTTTATTATGTCACAATGTACAGGAAGGAGATATGGCCCTTTCACCAGATTCAACCACGACTGTCATCCTTAAGAATATCAAATGAGATGTCTTTCTTCAGCTACGCTACTTATCTGCAAGCAAGGGCCACAACTCCACCACAAGAGAGCCAACCCATAGGTGTGTGCTCTCATTCCTACTTAGCTACCACAAAAGACCACGTCCTTGTCCCACAGCCTCTCTTCAATCATGTTACCTGAGCTCCTTATGGCTGCCAATCTGAAAGAGTTGAACATGCAGCAACTGAATTCAGCCCACCCAGCATCCATACACCGGATTTGCCATCAGTACTGTGAGGCAGGAGGCTCTCAAAATGGTACTTGGAGAGAAACAAGCTTTGCATTTTATCGTACCCTATGACACAACCAGTTGAGAAGCACAGGGGTATCCATGTCCTCCACAATATAGTGCAATCTCATTAGCCTAAAAAGTAGGTAACAAAACAAGTATTTCTTCTCAGCCTGAGTTGAGCAGCATTCAAGTTTTCTTTCCAACTTCTCATAAGTTGCACAATAGAAAAACATCCATCAAAAGCAGAGCTTAATAAAGGCTCCCAATAATGATGCTTTCCTCTTCATCCAAAAACTGATACTTAACAATGACTAGGGGAAAAAAAAGATGGCATGAAGATACACAAATAGAGAAGAAAAGATTTGAGACATTGTGCACAGGTGAAGAATTAATAATTGAGACCAAGTTATAAACTGTTCATTTCTGTTGAAATAGAAATTGGACAGATAAATATGATGAAAAAAGATGTTTCACCAGAAGCATAATGACAAAGGATCAACACAATAGAAAGGTAGTATAAAGGAAGCAAAGAAGATTGCTTACCTGTATCAGAAGATTCCAGTTTTGCAGGGAAAAACATCACCAAGAAGGGATCTCCAACCAGAAACCCTTCCCTGTTAGCAGTCAGCCCTTCAATGAGGTCTAAGAGAGGTGCAGCCAGGCTCCAAACCTTCCTGTCTCACAGCTGAACTGCCTTCACCTGTGCTCCCAGGGCTGACCAGGTCCTTTCCCCAGGTGCTCAATCAGTGGTTCAGGCTGGGATTCAACAGTTCCCATACAAAGCCCTCTGTGACTAACTCATTAGTGCTTATGAAAAATAGGAGTCGCTAATATGATCACCAGGGCCTCAAAGCACCCTGTAGAGCCTCCTGACAACTAGCCTTCCTGAGGGATGAGGAAGGGACAGCAACAAGCAATTTGGGAACAGCATTGCATCACTCAGCCCCACCAGAGCCCCCAGAGTGCAAGAAACAAGATGGCTCCATGCGCTGTCACTTCTCCAGCAGCACTGTCAGCAACTGGCATGGGTAGCCAGCAGCCCTGCATCAGCCACTTCTTGTCCTAAGATCCATGAGTCCTTCCAGTCTCCTTCCAGTTACTCCAATCCCCAGAGCATGGTGATTTTCTACCAATTTTGCATATGCTGCTGTTTCCAGAGATTCCAGTTCAGTGTTTACACGTATTTCACAATGATCGCTGCTAACAACCATTGAGAGATGGTAATTATCGTGTTTCAATTTCCTACAAACTGCTGGCTAAGGCTGCACAAAAAGTCCTGAGTGCCAGATGCTCTGATTTATGTTATTTATTCTTTCAGCATCTATACAGAGCCATAGGTACTTTATGCATTTTGTCATTTTAAATCATAAATGCTTTCCCACCCTAAAATTCTGCCACCTGCCTTGGCTATTACCTTCACTGCTTCATCAGTCACCAGTCAGCATCCCAGGCTTGCCAGCACCACAGCTGATGTACAGTTCAGGGAACTGCAAATCCCAAACAACAAGCACGTCTCAGACAAGCTGACTGTCAAGCAAAGCCCGCTTGGTGGGCAGACAGAGTTTTTGCTTGGAAATTCTGTCACTGGTCTTGGATAGTGGAAATCAAGTATATGAAATACAACACAAAATCAGCATTCACTTTTTTGTGGTTCACATGACTTCAAACATTTAGTAGACCGAAGCAGGGAGTCTGAAAGCTCTTGTTTTTATTTCTCCCCTTGGCTTTATCTCAGCTGACTGAATAACATGGGCTACTTTGGCAGATCAGTCACTGAGAAACAGCAGAGGGACCATGACCTGGAAGTCTGTCTTGAGTACAGACAGGAAATACCAGCATATTCTTTTCTTGTTTTGAAGTATGTCTATGAAGAAAGACTCTTTGCTAACAGCCAAAAATAAAAGGAAAGTAGAAGGTTATCAGTCTTGAAAAGGCCACTGGAATTTACAGCTCAAAATCAGCAAATGTCCAAGTAGACACTCTGGGAGCTTCTCTGATCAGAGCTGGAGCCCTTTGCTGCAACAGGATCCACCTCCTGCTCCAGGATTAATGGAAACCATTAGCAAGCCCTTCAAATTTGGTACCTTTCTCCACGGCTGAGAACTCCTGCAATGGATCCCATGGCACAACAGCAAAGTGCCTCCCAACCAGCTGCAGACCCAGCCAACACACAAGTGGGATCCTCACCATCTGCTGCCTGGAGGCAGCTCAGCAGGACTCATTTCATCAAGAAGACAATGAAGGCAACTGTTGTGTTACACTGTATTTAACTACAAAACCCCCAACACCTCCCTTTCTTCCAAGGCCCAGGCTTTGAGGCCAGAGCTGCCCGCTCCCCTTGTGCTGTCACAGCCCTGGTCCCAAACAGCTCCTCAGCACTCTGAGTTAGGGGCAACAAGCACAAAGTGAGATCAGAGGAATGTGACAAGCATTTCAGCATTATTAAGCATATCCAAATATTGTATTTATGGACTGCAATTTAACTTTTCTCCTTTTATGTGTTATAGTGTTTACTAAGCCATTAGATTAAAAAAAAATCTACTGGCAAGGAAAAAAGCTGGGGGCTGCTTCATTGAGACTAGCAGGCATGAGGAGGGTCCAGTTTTATTATTTGCTGTGCCACTTAGCTTCTTCTTTGTCACCAGTGTTGCTTGTCACTGCCATACAGTGCATCTACCCAGTGGCCAACAGAATTGTTTCTATGCCACAGGACAGAGACATGATCACACAGGTTAGTCATAAAGGCAAAGCAACAGCTGACATGTTGTTTATATGGAAAACGGTAATTTGAAACAGCTTTAAGAGATGAAACATTCTGTATCAGATAACAGAATCCTCAGTCTGTGCTCCCCCGAGGCTAGTAGCTCTTGCTGAGCATCTCACCTAGGAAGAAAGCTTGGCTGTCTGGAATAAGTGCTAATTAACTAAAACTCAGTTTTGAAAAAGAGTATCTGCACAGGAAGGTTTGTCAAATGTTTCTTTTCCAAAGCATTTCATTTATCTGAACAAAACACCACATTTTAGCTCTGATTACAGTTTGACCAGCTATACTGCTGCTTACCAGGGAGCTACAAATCTGCACCGCAGAAGCAGTCAGACTGGCTGGATTACCTTTCTTTTTTTTCATTTATTTACTTGTATTTATTTATTTGTTTGGTTTGGAAGCGCTGTAAGTCAGCTGTTTGCTCCTTCCTTCGGATGAGAGCCATTCTGGACACAGTTTTACAGTCCGACTGCAAATCCATTGCTGAGGGAAGCTGCTAATGCAGAGCCTCATGGCTGTACTGCGATCTGAATTAACATTTCTGGGTCTGACAAAGACATAGAAACATTGCTACTCATTTAATAGATGACAAGAAGGAGTTTTCCAGGCAGGCAAATTCAAAGCTTTGTGCAGAAGCTATTCCTTCAATTTTTTTCTGCGAACGTCAGCAGGTAGAGCAGAGAAGCACGACAGACGAAGTAGCTTCCCAGCCTAAGCCATATCCTCACAGATGAGCGCCTGGCTTGGAAAAGAAGAAGAAATTTTTATTTCTATTAAAGACAGCATTTAAGAGACTCTTGGTGCAAACCTTAAGCAGCTGTTAGAGATCACCAAGGTTAGTTGTGGAGAACAGAGAGCAGCACTAAGAATGTCTTCACGCTACACAGCAAGGATGTGAGGGCAGTTTCTGGGACAAGCTGCAAACAAGTCTGTCATTTATTCAGGCATCTTAAGAACATCCTTCAGTTGCTATGCGAGGGTGGCAAAGGAGCAAAAGTAACCTCCTAAGGTTTGGAGTCAGTGTAGTGATGGCTGAGACTTCCTCTGCTCTGGTTCTGTGACACTGGGAGATGAGCCTGGCGTGTGCCCATGGTTGCACATCTCACAGCCATCAGCAAAGCACTCTGTGCTGCACAGGACAGCTTCCTGAATGCTCCCATCTGCTAAAGGACACCCACTGCTGTGTTCCTGGGGTCTTTTACCCAGCAGCTTGCATCACAATATTTGACACTGCAACACAGAAAGAGATTACCCACTTTTTCAGTATCACAATATTGTTGTTTTTTTTTATTGAAAACAAAAAATTGTTTTGTCCTTTTGAAAATCCTCAGCTATTTCATGAGCATTCACTCCATATTTCCCACTGTAAGTATGGTTTGAGTCACATAGCTTTGCAGAGGGAGCACATTCCATGGCTCAAGGAGTTGAAACCATCCTTGCCTTAGCATAGCTCGACAAAATCCACGGCTACCAAAGCTTCAAGATGCTTGCAGTTCTTGCAGGTGCCATTCTCTGCCTTGAGGAGGGAGAAGACACAGCACACACATATTTGCCAACCAGATCTTCCTCTAGTGCGGATATAAAAAGATGGCTCAGAGCTCAGCTCTGCTCCCATCAGGAAAGGCTGTTGCTCCTGTGTGAATCTCTGGGGAGCAGGCAGCACCTCCCCAAGAATGCAGGCTGTTCATTCAGCAGCACTGCTGTGGAAGGGCTGTTCCTGCTGCACTGCACACTGCCATTCAGCCACTGTGCAGCAACTGCACCTCTGCATAGCTCCAGCTGCTTTCTGGTGCTCTGCGGGTAGCCAGGACACGGCTGCTCTTCCAGCACAGGCTTAGCAGCAGGCTCCTCTCCTACTGGGGCTGCAGATGTGTTCATCCAGACAGCAATAGTTGGCTATATTGGCTATTGGCTAATAGTTGGGCATGGATTTATGTTTTACTGATCACACATTAGCACCCTCTCTCCATTTTCAGGAAAAAAAAAAAGATGCTTCCCATATGCAGGAGCCAAATCCACCAACCAGAAATGGGAAGAGCAGAGTAAAACACTGCCTGCTTCCGCATGTGCTAAAATCATTATTGCTCCTCTTTCTAAGAAACGTTCCTTGGGACTGACACAAAATGTTTTCAATTAGATTCTGGACTTTCACTACATGCAGAAGTTACAGCTCTCCCTTCACATTTCACTCCACCTTGCTGGTTTTGACAGACTGTCCTTGGAAAATAACACCTATTACAGAGTGGTGTTCCATGATGGTGGTTTTGTGCAGACTCATCTCTGCCTCGACTCACAATCCCCTCGACTCAGCCACCCAGCTCTGCGTTATTCCAGAGTCACTGCCTCCTTGTTTGTTGTTCTTCTGGTTAAGTCCATGAGCATTTACAAGAGAAAAGGCTCTGGATCAGCCTCCTGCTTCCCTGACACCCTTGTGCTGTGTCAGACACTGCAAGCCTGCTTGCTTAAGCATCTATCAAGAAACCTCATAGTATTGAAGAACTGCTCAAGCACCTCTTGGGCTGTTACAGACCAACTATCTACATAATATTTCAGTTGCAGAATGAGCTTCAGTTTTCACTATGTCAAACCTCATTGTACTTTGCTTTCAGAAGCAGAGCAATAGTTTATTTTGTCACAGGTTGATGAGACGCCATGGCCAGCACTCCCCTGACCCACATACTCCCTTCTGAGACGTGCAACAAAGGAGCTGAAGACCTCTATTTTTAATTACTTTGTAGCATGCAATTAAAATAAACTCGAGGTAAAACAAAGGGGGGAAAAATAACTCTTGAAAAAACCACAGGTTGCTGTACTTCT